CTTGCCTCCCTTCTCCCAGCCCCACTCACATCATCTTCTACCAGCCCTGCCTCCTACCTCAACCTTGTTTTCCTCACTTCTAACCCTCTTGAACTTACTAAGGTACCCTTCCCAAGATATTACCCACCATGGTACATACCCCTACATTTTCTAGATGTCTTAGCTCATGCAGTTGAGTCCAAGAGACTCTCTTTGGGCCATTCTAAATGAATAGACACAAGATTCAGATGCCTCAAACTGAATGTCGAGTTTGTCTTTGGCCATTATGGTTAACAAATATAATATATATAATACATATATATTACACATATATATATATATTTGTTAAAATATTAGATACCTTTTATGCAGCCAATAATAAATGGAGTTCCCATACCAGGTTTGCTCAGATAATTCAGTATGAATAGCCAGAAACTAAAATCTATGAAATCCCCCTAAATATATCCACTCTCACCCACATCACTTATAAAAATAATAAATAAAACCAAACAACAAACAGAAACTCTCTGGGTGCTACAGTAGCTTAGGAAAAGAAGTTGACTATCACATGAGTTAAATACCTCAGCACACATACTCATACAACATGTCTACCTGAACATTGTTACAAACAGGCAATCTTTTTCTGTAGAGGGCTCTTGCACTTAGCAGGGGCTTAACTGGTGTAGGAGGGGGTACTAAAGAGGTCCTCCCCAGTGATGAGTCTTTGTATTTGGTCTTGCCTCCCACCTACTGAAGGCTCTCTACTTTCTACTTTGCTTGGTCCCAGTTTTATTCTTTATGTTTTCTGACCACCTTTTACCAGCATCCAAATGCTCCCTGCATGCTGCCCCACACCCCACCTCCTTTCTAACTCTCGATCTGGTTTCTCTTTCGGAAACATGTTTCAGTACAAAGCGCTTCCCTTCTGACACCACTGAAGAAAAATATGTGTCCATTGTTGTGAGAGGCCTTATTGTGCCTGGATTACCATACTGACCGTTGGCTAACCCATATTCCTCCCCTCCCCAGTAACAAGATGCTGAGTGAGGTGCCCTAGTGGCTCCACAGATTCTGGGCTGCAGTAAAAATCCCACCTCATACTCTCTGGATTTTCCAAGGGGCAAAATTAATTAATTAATTAAATTAATGGGTGAAACAATTCAGGATTTAACTGTAAAAAGAAAGAAAATAAGGCTCACTCTTTCCCACTCTCTGAAGTACAGGTTTTTTTTTTTTTAATGTATGTGCTTTGTTGTTTTAGGGATTAAAAATTACAACATGCTTCTTTCCTTTTCCTCAAATAAATTGAGTTTTAGATGGTATGCAATCAGGCAATTCATTTCATTTTGATTTTTTTCTCCCCCGGGCAACTGGAAAATCCCAAACTAAAACAAGATTCTTATACTATTTCTCCCCTTATGCATCCGTGTGTGTGTGTGTGTGTGTGTGTGTGTGTGTGTGTGTACATAGGTACGTGTATATTTTTGTCCTTTCCTAAAGCCAGCAGGCAGGACTAATGCATGAAAAAGAATATGCAAATGCTTAATTGATTTTTCCCTTAAATCTCTTGTCAGTAAAAGTAATGAATTGGTCTAAAATGATCTTAATAACCTGGACATGTCACTAGAAAATACTCAACCTTTTTCCCCCTCCTGGAATCGCTTATAGTATAAAAAGAGAGAGAGGAAAGAAAAGGAAAAGGCAATCATGGAATGTTAATTTGCCCCCCTTTAAAATATTAAAGATGAATTTCTCTTGTTTGTTTGGAGACCATAGGCTCGGTCCTCTTGTGAATCTCCCCCGCCTTGCCTTCCTTGGAATTCAATTTTCCTCAAATCTCGTTTAAAGTGGCTTTTTAAAAAGTGGCTGCATTTTAATATTGGTTAGACAGAGTGACCTGCATTTCACCTCGGGTGTTTGACTTGTTCCAATAGGTCACTGCCATGGGGTTATTGATGGGGAAACTCCATTGAAATTTGTCTCTTCGCAAATGGCCTTTAGATCTTCCAGCGAGTTCAATAACTAGTTATAATGTGGAAGGGGAAAAATGAAGGCCCTGGGCTAACGAATTTGATGCTTCATTTTTATGCTGGAGAAATTGTTAGTTAGAGCTTGGGTTTCCCCCACCCTCTGTTCATTCCAGCTTTGGTGACCCCCTCTCCCATTCAAAGCTGCTGGATTATATCTCCCATTAAGACTTGTGTTGAGGTATCCCTTTCTCTCTGATGCAAACCTTACTTATGAATATTGTTGTAAACTTACGGATGTTGGAAGCTTGCTTTGTTGGAGGTTTGAAACCTGAACTTTTTTGTTAAGGGAACTTTCAAAGGAGACTAAATATGTCTTGAAAAGATCTAGAGACTAGGCTGGCCATAGTTTAGAGAGGGCTCCGTGACTCCCACAGTTGAGGAAATTGGAAACTCTTTTGAGGCATTGATAGGGTATTTCAAGGTGCTGTGATGTGTTCCTGGCCTCAGAGCTTCCGGCCATATGCGAGATTAGGCACCCAGGACCAAGACAAGAAGACATGCAAAGACTAAGAGGGAATATTTCTTGATGGGCAAGGGAATCCTGTGTCTCCTCTAAGGTCACAGCAGGACTGTGAGGAATTGGTTGGGTAATTGCTCAAAGAACTAGAAAGTTGCTCCTCCAGGAAAGACTAAAGACACCAGGGCTAGAGGACTGGAGAAGGCAGGAGGGACGAAGGGGTGAAGACTATAAGGATTGCTTTTTTTTTTTTTTTTTTTTTTTTTTTTTCCCTGGAGGCTCTGGAGTGGAAGAAGGAAGGTCACAGTAAAGATAGGGAAGGCTTGTTTTATTCTTCTCAACCACTGCCAAGTTGGGGAATGCCTGGCACCCCAGAGATCCTCTATGAGAAGGGGTTGCACTGAACAGTTCTGGGGTCCTTGACCCAGCCACAGCAGATCGTTACCATTATTAACCTCAATAATAACCTAATAACCGTGCATCTTCTTTATACAGAACGGAGCTCCTCGGCGCCTTATTCTCTCCTCTATGTGCCTTTCCTTCTCTCACCCTGCTCAAAGAGGCCCAGTTTGCTCAGCCCAAAATCTCCCCTGTAATAAACCCTGTGGCCTCAAGCCTCCTTCCAAGCCTCAGTCTGTCACCGGAGTCATCCTAAAGGTATGCCTTGGATCCTGGGCTGGGGGGAAACAAGGCCAGAGAGGATGCGTAAACTACCTCCCTGCTTCAGCTTAAACACAAAGGAGTTACGTGCCACCCCCGGTTCTCTGTCAAACTTGCCTAGGCATATCCGTGGTACCACTGGGATCAGGGAGCTGCCTCAACTGCTACTTAATCCCATAAAAAAAAAAAACAAAAACAGGAAAGCCAGGGAAAGGGCTGTGGCAGTTGCAAGATCGGCCTGGGAGGGGTCTGAGGCTGCTCTTCCTAACCCAGCTGGGACCAGCAGCAAGGAGCTCTGAACTTCCCGCGGCGGTGGGGCGCGCCGGGCCGGCAGGCCAGTCATACCCGCCTGCTCTCCACTTCGGGCCCCCAGCACCTAGACCACAGAACCCTGGCTCCCCGGCCCAAGCCTCATCCCTCCCTGTTTTAATTACGTGATTGATTTTTCTCTAGGGCTGCTTCGGGACGACTCTGTCTCCGAGTGTTTAAATCTTTCGGCTCCCTTTTTGTATTCCCGAGTCCTCCCGAGATGTGCCAGCGGCAGGCGCGGGGCCGGGGCCCTGGGCCCGCCTCGCTTTACACTCCAAGGAAATGGCCAGGCCACACCGTCCTGGGCGCGCCCGCCGAGGCTGCGAAGACGTGATCCTGCCCTCCCGCCTGAGAGTCACTTTGTGCTGCGCGACCCTCCCCATTTGAGCTGTTCCCTGGAGCCTGGCCTGAGAGCCCGGCTCTGGGTTTGTGTTTCTATCTACCCCCAAGAAAGTGTGAAAAAGTCTGAGCTGATCCTGGAGGAAGCAGCATGCGGCTCGGACTCGCAGCCCTTTGCCTAGTGAACACCTGGGCTCAGCGCTGGCGTGCGAACAGCATCCCAGGGAAGCAAATCCGACTACAAACGACTCCAGGCGCCCTTGGGACCGTAGGCCCTGAGGTCCCGGCTGCGGACCCCAACATGCATCAGGCGATGGGGTCCTATTGTTATCCCACAGCCAGAAGGCCACTCTACTTGGCCGCCCCAGAAGCAGGAAGCGTCCTTTCAGGGTGGTTTCAGTCACCCAAGCCCCAGGACCGCGGTCCAGCCTCTTCCACTGCAGGCGCTGCAGGTGAGGCAAGGAAGGGGAAGGGGTAGGGGTGTTAAATTAGAGAGGAGTGCGTTAGGGTCGGGATGGAAGTGGAGGATTAGAGTCAAGAACCCTGCCTCTTCAGAGGAGGAGGCCGACTGACCTCTTGCTCCCTTTTCCCATCCGGAAGGAGAAATTTTCGACCTCCCCAAACTGCTGGGCTTCCGCTCAATCTCTTTATTTACAACTAATAAACACTTCTCTGCTTCCTCTCCCATAGTCATGTACATTCTTTGATGAGTCACTAATAGCAGGAGGTTTTGTTTTTTGTCTTTTTTTTTTTTTTGATGCTATGTAATTTTTCCACAGAGAGGAGGGGGTCAGGACGCCTCTCATGTGGAAGTTCAGCGAATCTCGGGTTGGTCACAATCCTTTTCCTGCCCTCCTGCTCTACGAAGCCGCAGTTCCTCACTTCCCATCCCTTCTGCACAGTAACGTCGCCTGGTAAATAAGAGTCCGTCTGCTTGGCTATTAGGATTCTGGAGACGTTGGCATCTGTAGCAATCATTAGTCAAAGCCGCAGAAGCCAAAGCAGCCGAGGAGTTGGACAGAAAAAATCTTGGAAATGATATACAGGAGCTGAGGAGGCATCAATCCCGCCGATAAGAGCGCGGCTGCCGCGAGCAGGCGGCCAGCTTAATTGGGCCCTGGGCACCAAGAACAACGCGGGAGGGGAGCTTAGGGTTGTACAGTGACCTGGCATCATTTGGGCACCTACAAAAATATTTAGGACTTAAACACATTTCCTCCCAAGTTTAAAAAATTGTGTGTGTGTGTGTGTGTGTGTGTGTGTGTGTGTGTGTGTGTGTGTGTGTGCGCGCGCTACAAGCCCCTCACCCCTATGAGCAGAGGCACTGCACTGGATTTCTTCTGGGCCACTTCTCGAGTGGTACTGAAATTGGGAAGCTAGAGCTGGGCTCTTAGGTCCCAGCTACAGCCTAGAAGGAGGCTATGGTCCCTATGGAGGGTTTTCACAAGTCGCATAACTAAGCTGGACTAGATTTGGAGCTAATCTTGGTGGTAATCGACAAAATCATTTGTTTTACATTTACTTTACATCACATTCAAGTGATACTGGATCCCCATTCCCACTCACTAGATAGTTTTGTAGGTCAGAAGATGCTTGCAGTGGGACAGACAGTTGTAGAAAGTTTTTTTTGGGGGGGGAAATCTATGCCCTTACTCCTAGATGCTTGTGAGGACTATCTCTAAACATATGTTCAAATATTTGAAGTTTGCAGAAAAAATGGTAATATTCTACAAATATCTCCATATACATAGCTTCAATATGTAGCTATTTTATGGTCTGAGAACCTTGAATAAATCTAGATAAAAAATTTCAAAACAGAAACTGAGTCATACATGCACAACTCTGTCTAACTAAGGAGGAAAACTCCAAATATTCATTTAGATTTTTAGAGAGAGCTGTACTAACACATGCCAGCACATACGCCCAACCACTATTGAGAAAGATTGGTCATGTGCACACAAGAACCTGACAGAGGACTGTGAGGTTCACTGTGGATTTATAAATCTAAAGCTCTATGAATCTGCACACAAATGTGGGGGCAGAGAAGGGTATGAAACATACAATCTGATGTAGACACAGAGGAGTCCAGAAGAACATTTTTATGTATGCTATAGGCATACTCTTCATATAAAGACACATGAGTTGCATTGTCTCTATTCTAGAAACTAGAAGGTTTTTCTGGTATTTGTAGGTTTGAGGTGTCCCACTCAGACTTCTCTGAGAAACAGATGAGGGCAAACTATCTTTGCAATATTGAAAGATACCAAGAATTTATATAGTGAGTGGATTTATTTCCCATGTGTAAGGGCATTTCACTGGCAGTGGATGCCTAGATCTCTGAAAGTGTCCAGATAAGATGTTCCTCCTAAACCTGGTGTGTTGGTGAACACCTTTAATCCCAGAACTTGGGAGGCAGAGACCAGGGGATCTTTGAGTTCAAGGTCAGCCTGGTCTGCAGAGCAAGTTACAGTACAGTCAGAGCTACATAGAGAAACCCTGTCTTTATGGAAGAAATAACAAAAACAAAAAAAAAAGGTATTGCTCAGACTTAGAGAGAGGTAGAGGGCTGTTCTTTTCTTTAGCTCAGTAGACCCACAGCTCAAAATGGGAAAAGAACTGTGGGGGCTGGGGTGTATTTGGTACCTGAGGAGCCATTAATCATCACTACAAAATAGAACCATTAAGGTAAAATGTATTCAGTTTGGTAGAAAGATCTGTGTGAAGGCTGTGGACTTTTCACCCAGACTTGGCGTTCTTTCCATTGTTATAGTACCAGGTGAGATCTCTACATGCCCCACTCCCATCTCTTACACACCAAAGTAGAGGTGACAGAGAGATGGCAGGAGTCATGGGATTGCTCCTTTGCAGGCTCTGAAGCTGTTTGTCTTCAAAATTAGTTCCTTTGTGGATTAAAGTATTCGATGATTAGGCTTGCATGGGGGAAAAGGAAATGAAGATTTTGAGTTTTACATAAGTTGAAAATCTGTGTGTCTTAGGGGCAGGAGGAAGTCACCAACTGGGCCTTTTCTTATTGGTGGCAAAGAATTTGGGGAACTCTGAAAGTCCTTTTATTTTTCTTCTTTGGTTTACTGGAGAAGGGAGGTTAGGAGAGGCCTTAGGTGGGCTTGGGGAAGTGCAATCCAATCTAGCAGGGAGCTTGGGAGAAGAGTGATTTATAAAGGAAAACTTTAGATGCTGCTTCCTGAGAATTCACGAGATCAAAACAGCCTCCTTAGGTGTTTATGACCCGTCTCTGCTCCCAACAGGAAAAGCTACCCCAATAAAACCTTAGCCACCCCCATCCTCCACAGGGGAGTGGGGACATATATACACAATCTAATGTGGAGGACCTGACCCCTTCTCTCTCTCTCTCTCTCTCTCTCTCTCTCTCTCTCTCTCTCTCTCTCTCTCTCACACACACACACACACACACACACAGAGAGAGAGAGAGAGAGAGAGAGAGAGAGAGAGAACTAGAACATTGACTTTTTAAGTTAAAGAAGTAAAAAATATTTTTCTTTAAATCTGAGTAAAGAAACTTTTGAACCTGGAGAATAAGACGAAGGTATTACATTACATAAGAGTGGGGTTTCTTACCCCCCACCCCAGGGCCTCCAGTGTCACATAGTTCAAAACTCAATCTAGGACAACAGGATACCAAGAGTCACCAAAAGTATGGCTGCCACTCATTAGGGGCTATTCCAAGGTCTGAGTTTTCCAGAGGTGGGAGAATAAAAGTACCTCAAAAGGTCAGAGCTTGAGGGGTGGGAGTGTGGACAAATGGTTTCCATCCTGGGCTAGTAGGAAGAATGGAAAAGAAAAGAAGGCCTGGGAAATTGGTTGGAGGCTGGTTTAATGTGTCCAATCAAGCTTCTCACCTCTATCAAAGTATAATTTGAGTATATACATATATTTCTGTGTTTAGGTACCCTAGTGTTCAGGGACGGGTGATGAGAGCACTAAGGATCCCTGGAGGGCAGAAACAGTCTGGTCTATCTCTCTGAGATCTATGGTGCAATAGGAAAGTATCCCAGGGAAATGACCCTCACATTCCACATTCCATCTTTCTCATATCATGGTAGAACTAGGGAGATACGTCTCCTTCCTGTACTACCTCACATGGTGCCCACAACCTTCTATGTGATTTCATTATAGCTTCTAATAGTGGTCAATTGGAGATTGAGCAAGATCCTAGACAAATATTCCAGTTCAGCCTTCCTTAGTTTCATATTGGAAGGGGGGAGGGAGAGAGAAAGAAGTCTCCCCTAACTTTTCATTCCTTTAGTCTTAGGAGTAGGACAAGACTTCCAAAATCTTGTGAGACTCAAGAACAAAGATATTCATCACTTTTGTACTTAGCCTACACAACTTACAGTTTTTTTTGGGGGGTCTCTAAAACTCCATCAAAGTAGCCCAGGAAGATTTTGTCAGAACAAATACCCCACTAGGAGTTACAAGGATCCCACAAAAGTGGCAAAGGGGGGATTTGACTTTCTTAGTCTTCTAACAGTCTCATCTATTAGATACCTAACCCCAAAACCCTAGATTGTTATTCTAATTCCATATTTTCTCACTTTCTAAGGGCTTCAGTTGCTCTAGTTACACTTTGGAGGAGGCTCAGTGTGACAGTTCTGTCCTCCCAATAAAATAACACAGAACAAAACAAAAGAGGAAGAAGAGGAGGAGGAGGAAGAGGAAGAGGAAGAGGAAGAAGAAGAAGAAGAAGAAGAAGAAGAAGAAGAAGAAGAAGAAGAAGAAGAAGAACTAAAGCAAAGATATTTCTGCATTTTTCAAAAGTTTTAGGATTAAGAGAGACCATACACATGAAGAGGGAAGGGTTACTCTGAGAAATCTCTCTTCCTGGGGCCTGTGAAGACAGAGCATATATATCTGCTGTCTCTCCTCGTGTGCTTTAAAACTAGTTCATAAAAGAGGCAAATAGAGCCATATGCTTTAGAAGAGGGTCCCTGTTTCTGGCTCCTCACCCTAATCTACCCTATAGCCTATGGCATTATTTCCACATCAGCCCTACCCAGAAGACAATCAAGCAGGGTGTTCCTCCCAGTCTTGCATCCTGTCCCTAATACCTGTAGAGGTTAGGTAGAGGCCCATGGAGACCTCTTACCTTTAGTTCATGGAATGCAGAAGATTAGAGGTGAAGGGAAGGCAGAAGAATTCCACTAACCCCCAGCAAAACCCCAGAGATGAGAATGCCCAGGCTGGACACACCAGTGTACAAGTGCCCACAAACACAAGTATGTCCTTTGTATACACACACTCTGCCATCCAGAGCTGTCGATCAGAAGTTATTCTCATTTGCTTATTTGATTTGATCCACATAAATACAATGTCAAAATACACACACTTTCAGCAATTGTGTGTTCTGGCAGCATAAACACAGGATAGTCATTTAATTTACCTTTACATGTATTAAGATATGCATATTTTTAAACTCAGAGCTAAACACATGATCTACCACTGAGCTACTCTCTCAAGCCAATTTTATTATACCTTGTTAAAAAGAAAGAAGGGGCTGGGTGTTGGTGGGGCACACCTTTAATCCCAGCACTCAGGAGGCAGAGTCAGGCGGATCTCTGTGAGTTCCCAGCCTGGTCTACAAGAGTTAGTTCCAGGACAGCCTCCAAAGCCACA